CACCGCTGTCCACACACGCATGCCCTAAGCACACCGCTGTCCACACAAGCTCTGCTTCTTCACTCCTGGAGCAGCTGTGTCTGTGTGAGGAAGAGAAAGGCTGCCCCTGACCCACTGAGATGGTCCCATAGCTTCTCAAAACCTGGGATCGGCTACTCATCCTGCCCCTGGGGAATGTCCCTCACTCGGACAAATCCCCTGCTCTGGCATCAGACATGTCTGTGTCCTTCCTACCAGGCTGTGTGTGTGTGTGTGTGTGTGTGTGTGTGTGTGTGTGTGTGTGAGGGAGTGGGGTATGAGGAAAGATGCTGCCAAGAACAGGGCTCCTAGATTCAGCATGAACCAAACCCTCATTCCAACCAAGACCTGTGTGCTGTGCTGCACTGGGGGCACCTGATGAGCCAGGGAAGCAAAAATACCAGGGGTGTGGCTAGATCCCCTTCATCTTCATCTCTTCATCTGACATTTTGGTCCAGTGTGGGCTAAGGATGACCTGGGTCGCACTCTAAGGGGGATGGGAACTGTGGAAGGTGAGTGGGTACCAAGAAATTCCAGTGGAGCCTTTGATGGCATATGGTTTTCCCTGGGGTTTGTTGGGGGTCTTTTTTTCAGGGAAGAGGTAAGCAGGCTGGCTAGTTTCACATCAGTTTGATACAAGCTAGAGTCGCTGGGGAAAGGAGAACCTGAGTTGAGAAAAAGCCCCCACCAATTTGGCCTGTTGATTGGTGACTGATGTGAGAAGGCTCAGGACATTGTGTGTGGTGCTATCTCTGGTAGGTGGTCCGGAGCAGCCACAGGGAGCAAGTTAAAATGCAGCATTCCCCCATGGCTTCTTGCTCCGGTTCCTGCCTTCAGGTTCCTGTCCTGACTTCCTTTGATAGTGGACTGTAATATGGAAGTGTAACCCAAATAAACTCTTACCTCCCTAAGTTGCTTTTGGTATTTTTTTTTATCACAACAAGAGAGATTAAGACAGAGCCATGGAATCAAAAGACTAGAGGGAGCAAAGGAAGGGGCTGGGGCATCTTGAAGGTTCCCCAGCTACACTGGCTGTGGACCGAGCATGACAGAACTGCAGAAACCCCTGGACTACGGAAGATCTCAGGCCCTGAAACTTTGAAAAAGGCACAGCCACCCCTCCCCAACCATCCAGGCCTTTCCAGGTTGGGGCTGCGGGCAGCTCACCTGGTAGAAGTTATTGATCTCGAAGTTGCGGCTGCTGTCCAGGTTGAACCGGGTGTAGATGGGCAGATGCAGCCAGCGATCCCAGCTCTGCACTTGACTAGCCAGCACCAGGGAGGGGTTAGGGGAGAAGATGGTGGGAAAGCGGCCTCCACTGAGGAGTGCATAGCTCTTCTCCAAGGCTGTATTGCGGAGGTCCTGGAAGTACTTGAAGGTGGTGGTGCCGTAAGGGGAGCCGAAGGAGGAAGCCACACCGGGGACATGGCCTTTATACCTGCAGTGACAGTGGGAAGGGGCGGGTGGAGGAAGATGCAACTTCATGACATCCATAGCAGCTCCCAGACAGGCCCTTGGCAACTGAGCGTTCTTGCGTCCCTCTGGTTTTGAAAGGATTCTTAAGGAGCACTAGCCTGCTCAGGTCTTTGGGGGAAGGTCACGTGAACAGGTCTCTGGGACGCTTCTTTGGCACAGAGGGGCTGGCTGGGTTGTTGTCCTCCAGACCGTAGACCTCTGAACCTCTCAGGGGGCCTACAGACAAGAAACCCGCACACAGATCCCCCAGCTCTTTAAGGACTGGCCAGAAGATCCCTGCAGTCATCTCATTATAGGAGACAGGAGAAGTTGGTGGACTCAGCTGTGAAATTCTGTGCGTGTTTGGTTTTCTGCAGCACAGGCCTGTCTGGGTCTCGCTCCCATGAGCAAAAAGTTCCCTAAAGTCATTGCACCTCCAACTAAACTTGTTCTCAAGGCTAAGTAGAGCTGATTCCAACTTTAATGTTTTAATGAAGAGACTGGAGTTGGAGAGCTTGGAATGTTGCAGGTCCAGAGCCTAATCACATTCTGTCTTGGGCTATTAATAGACCACCAAAGAGCCATTCCTTGCCCGCCTTTGTGTCCAACCTAATATCCAGTGACTAATAGGGAAAAACAGTATTGAGGGCATTAACTTAAAACCCTATTTTCTACCAACCAAAAGGCTAAGTAACAACACCATCAGATAAGACGTGGGGACTGTAACAGAGGCCACTTTACCTACTCCAGTGCATTTTTAAAGGGTCTTGATTTGTGACTTTTTTTTTATTCTGTTACTATAAAAACTATCAAATCGTTATCACGTTGGAATACAAAATTCAGGATAACCTAATGCTGAGTTCCGGGCCCACAGGCACCCATATTTGGCTCTAGAATAAGCTCTCTTCTCTCCTTTGAGGTGAGAGTTGTGTGGTTTTTAAATTCTTTTTGAAAAGGTCGTACTTGAGAGCTAGATGTCCTTCGTGTCCAGCCGTCCCCTTCCAACTCCTCCCACTCCTGGTAACTGTGGTTTTCAGGTTGACACCCCCATGCCCTCACAAGATGCTTGTCCAAATGGCCTGGGGGGCCTTGACCAAGGATCTGTGGTGCCAGACACCCTAGAACAACTCTTTTGATGCCAGGGAGGCCCAGCAAGAGGGACAGAAGATGGGCTTAGTGACCCTTCTGAGATGGGAGACCCTTGACTACACGAGGCTTACAGAGAAGGCTGCCCAGCACGTCAGACAGACTGAAGCTTTCCAGTCTACGTGGCCCCTATCGCCTTCCTGTCCTCACATTCCAGCCCGATTCTCCTGCAGGCTGCTCTTGAAATTGCTGATAATGACTTCCCTGCTGTTGGTGCAGAGGGCATCTCCCCTCCACCCTGGAAATGTCACTTTCGATTACCCTGTTCTTTGTACCCACTTCCCTGATCATTCTTTTGAGTCTCTTCATCCTTTTCCATTTGTCTGAGGGAGAGAGAGAGAGACAGGGAGAGAGAGAGAGAGACAGAGAGAGCATACATGTGTGGAGGTCAGAGGTCAATGTTGGGTTCTTCTTCCATTGCTCTCCACCTGATTTTTGAGACAGGGTCTCCCACTGAATCCAGAGCTTACCTGGTTGGACGGGCTCTCTAGTGAGTGCTGTGAGCCCTCCAGACTCCCACTGCTCAAGTTATTGATATGTTCTGCCATACTTGGACTTTAAGCTTTTATGTGTGTGCTAAGCAGCTGGACGCAGACCCTCAATCCACCTTTGTCTCAGTCACTATTCTATTGCTGTGACGAGACACTATGACCAAGGCAACTCCTTTAAAGGAAAGTGTTTAAATGGAAGCTTGCTTGGAGTTCCAGAGGCTTAGTTCATTATCATCAGTAGCCTTACGGGAGTTACGTCCTGAAGCATAAGCTGAGAAGAAGAGAGAAACACTGTGCTTGTATGAGCATTTGAGACCTCAAAGCCCACCCCCCAGTGACACACTTCCTTCAACAAGGCCACACCTTCTCCAACAAGACCACACCTCCAAATCCTTCTAATTGTGAGGATATACTGCCTCGAAAAGCAAGACCTAAAGCCAGCAGAACAAACTCCAAATTCAGCATCTCCATGTCTGATGTCAAAGCATTCTTCAGCTCTCCAATTCCTTTGTTGACTGCTTTGTTGACTGCAACACACTTCTCTCTTGGGCTGGTCCCACAACCAGTCGGCAGTTCTTCTTGGCAGGCATCCTATATTTCTGGCATCTCCAACATCTCGAGGTCTCCAACAAAGTCCAGCCTTAACTTCACAGCTTCACACAATGGCCTCTCTGGACCTCCGTACAGGGACACCCTTGATGTACATCTGGCCTCAGCAGCTTTCCTTAGTTGCGGAGGGAGATTCCACAGCCCCTTTCCTGTATATTCCTTTGTAAACCCAGAACGACACAGTCAAATCTGCCAAGTTCTTTTGCTTGTCGGGGTTGGAACTTGGACCCTTTGTTCCAATGCATGTCTATCAGTTTTCTGTTGTTAATGGGTTCCTTCGCTGCTTAAACTTTCCTTTAACTCCCTCTCACAACCTCTTAAGGGTTGGGGTTTCTTTGGGGTCTGTTCTGACACACAAGCCATGGCCTTAACCATAATCTAGTCTAGGAGTCCTCTTCAAGCGCAAAGTACACTACACATCTCCCTTGGTCCTTCCAGAGCTCAACTTCTCACTCCTACATTGCCCAACAGTCTGGCCTTAACTCCATAAAGAGTTCTCCCTAGCTGTCCAGGCGAAAATGTAGACATCTACCCCTCCCATCCGGCCAGGCAGCAAGTCCCATCATCCCTCCACCTGAATCATTTAAGCCTGGGTCTATCTCCTTCATTGAAACTTTGGTCACAGCACCCTTGCCCTCCTAGCTGTACCCGAACCTCGGCTCCTTGAATCCATTTCCACAATCCAGACATGGCACTGCCCAACATCAAATCCTTGGTGAAGTACTTAAAAGCCTACCCACCTGTATTCTCAAGGTCACCTAGTGTCCCAGGACTAAAGGGCCACTGTGACTCTATAGGTGTCATGTTTCCTTGCTCTCTGTGCCCTCTCTTCTTTGCCTCCTCCTTCTCCTGGGTTCTTATTCTGTCTCCTGAAATCAGGATGTCAGCCTATTTATTCCACTCCCTCCTGTGAATCATTGCCTTCCCCCCTCGTTATTTTTTTTTATAGACTTGGTTGAGTTGAAACTTACTATATAGACTAAGCTGGCCTCAAACCCAGATATCTTCCTGCCTCCAGGTCCTGAGTGTATTACCCTGTTCTGTTTCCCAATACTAAATGGTTCCTTAAGACTTGTCAAATACCGCACCTAAGAGCTTCTTCCTCTTCCAGGTCTAAATGGGTATATCTGTTCCCGTTGTCCCTTTGCACCCTAAAGTTCCCTCCATCACCTGCGCCTCTTTCTGTGCTGCTCAGACCGCTACCCCTCTTAATGCACTCAGATAGCAAGCTTCTCAGGTGCGGGATGGGCTTGTGTTTTACGTATTTGAGTCCCTGGTTCTTCATAGTTGGTTTGGCACATGGTATGTGGGGAGAAAATGAGCTGTTTATTAAACAGATAAGATGATGAGTAGATAGAATATCTGCAGTAGCGGTGATGGACACAGTTGGACCTAGATTATCAAACACGAGAAGGTCAGTGACCATGTTCTAGAGACTTCCAATACATGTCCTAAGATGACAACCACTCTCCATGAGAATTGGTGGTCAACCACACACCAGGGAAACCCCAGTTAAGCCCTGGTGATGCAGCTTGTCTGTTTCTACATTCCTGACTCTTATCCAGACCCAAGAGGGCGCCTCAGACCTTTCTGCCTCTTTACAATGGGTGCAGGCCTAGAATTAATCAGTAATACATGACTTCTTTCCTTGCATTTTCAGAAAAAAAATGCAAGAAAACCATGTAGAGTGGCAGGCAAGCAGACCTGCTGGTTAATTTCCATTGTGAGCAAAACATCTCAAGTCCCTCCCGTTCCTGGTCCCATTATTCCTGCCAGTGGGCCTGCCTGGGATCTGGTAGCAAGGAGGATGTGCCTGGCTCAGAGTGGCATGAAGTAGACCACAAAGGTGGGCCAAGCTAGGAGATCCTGTCACCGGCTTCGTGGGTCTCTCTCCAGCCCTTCCCGCTAGTCTTTGACTCCATGGGCTCTTGATACTTTTCCATCCACTCCAGATCCCTTTCTCCTGGACTTCCTGCTGACAGCCATGCATCCTCTGGTAGAAATTGAGGACTTGGGAGTCTTTGCTGACCTCTCCTGAGAGCCTGTGTGGTCACCATGGCCATTTCTGGAAGACAGAATCCTCCTTTCTACCATGGTGCACCCCACCTGTGTCTGAAGTCTACCTTTCTTGCCTTCTGTTTTTCTCAGCCTCTGCCCTTCCTCCATGCCATCTTTTTTTTTCTTTTGAGACAGGGTTTCTCTATAGCTTTGGAGTCTGTCTTGGAACTAGCTCTTGTAGACCAGGCTGGCCTCGAACTCACAGAGATCCGCCTGCCTCTGCCTCCCGAGTGCTGGGATTAAAGGCGTGCGCCACCACTGCCCTTCCTCCCTGCCATCGTTAATGTCTCCTTCTCTCCTCACTTCTGATCTCTGCCTAAAGATGTGCTCTAGTCTTTTCTAGACTGTGAAGTTCTGTAGGAGACTTTGCTGCCGCTCACATCCTACCCTTTCTCCTTCTTTCTGGCTCCATCTCTCTAAGGAATGCCCCCAGAACTTCTGCCTTTGTTTCTTCAACCCTGCTCTTTCCTGACCTCTCTCAGTCCCACTGCTGTCCCACCACTGAACCGTAAACCTCTACTGGTTGAATCAAGGCCACCCAGGACCATCCAATGTCTTTGGCTCACACTGGTCCTCTGCTACATTTGTGCCAACGATGATTCCTGCTTGGAAGGAAGAACTCTGAGAAGCACAAGCAGAGTTCCTGAGATGGCTCATGCTGTAGAGGAAACCTCCTAAA